ACTCAATATGTAGACCAGGCTGGCCATCATGATCTCACAGAGACTTGACTGCCTCAGCCTCCTGAGTGAGTACCGAAATTAAAGGTGTGTACCACCATGACCAGCCTATGATTTTTTTTTGTCTTTTTAAAGCAGGGTCTCCCTGTAGCCCCAGTTGTTCTGGAACTCACTATGTAGACCAGGCTGGCCTTGAACTCACAGAGATCCGCCTGCCTCTGCCTCCCAAGTGCTGGGACTACAGGCATGCGCCACCACGCCCAGCTTAAAAAATATTATTTTTATTTTATGTGTATGAGTGTATAGCCTGCATTTATGTGAGCGCACCCGTGTCGTGCAATGCCGCAGAGGTCAGAAAAGGGCTTCCGATTCCCCTAGAACTGGACCTAGGGACGATTCGTAGCCACCGTGTGGGTGCTGGGAATCAAACCCAAGTCCTCTGCAAGAGCAGTCGGTGCTCTCAACCGCTGAGCCATCTCTCCAGCCCCAATTCTTTAAAAAATATTTTTTATTATTTTTATTTTATGTGTATATGTGTATTGCCTGCATGTAAGTAAGTGTACCCATATCATGCATCAGATCCCCTGGAACTGGAGTTAAGGATGGTTGTGAGTCATCATGTGGGTGCTGGGAATCAAACCCAGGTCCTCTGTTATAAGGGCAGTCAGTACTCTAACTGCTGAGCCAGCTCTCCAGCCCCTATGTCCTCATTCTTTATAGCAGCCTTTCCCATTATAGTTCCTGTTCCCTTTTAAAGTATAGTCATTGTGAACACTTCTTGCGGTACACAATTTCCTCATATGGCCAAGACCACATCCTCTCTCTGAAATTGTCCCTGTAGAAGGACTGATCTTGGTTTTTGCCAGGAGTTTTTGCTAAACTCAAGATACATTTCTGTACCTTGTATAGTAAAAACTTAGAATCTGTACATATGAAACTGGACCAGGGGGTATAGGTCTAAAAATTCCAGCTACTAGGGAGGCTGAGAAAGATTCCAAGTTTAAGGTCAGTGCCAGGACAGTTAAATATGACACTGCCCTTAAAAAGTGTGTATGGGTTGGGGAATGGCTCAATTGGTAAAGTGCTTGCAATGCAAGCATGAGAACCTGAATTCCTATTCCCAGCACACACAAAAGCCAGGCACAATGGCACACACCTGTAATCCCAGCCCTGGGGAAGCAAAGATAGGAAGATCTCTGGGGCGTGCTAACCAGCCAGTCTAGTCAAATTAGTGAGCTCCAGGTTCAGTGAGAGATCATGTCTTTTTAAAAAAAAAAAAAAAAAAAAAAAAAAAAAAAAAAGGTGGGTACAAGTGGGAAGGAAAAAAATTTAAAAGATGGGGCTGGGTGATAGTGCAGTGGGTAAAGCACTTATCCTACAAATATAATGACCAGAATTCAGATCCCTAACTCCCAAGTAAATGATGGGTAGGTGTGGCAGCTCCCACTAGTCCCAGCACATGGGAGGCTGAAAGAGGAAATCTCTAGAGCAAGTTGGCTAACTAAACTAGACAAATCAGCAACTGTGGGTTTAAGTGCCTCAATATATAAGATATAGAGCAATGCAACCTCTGCCCTCCCATACACATGTGTACTAACGTGCAGACAGGGAAGGAAGGAAATAAGGTAAAGAGCAATGAAGGGTGACACCCAAAGTCAACCTCTGGCCTCCAAATGCACACATATAAACTCAAGCCCTTATCCTTTAGACATATACTGCAGTTTGAAGTCAGTATGCATAAAAATTCCTTTGTGTTGTGAAAGGGACAAAGCCCAGGGCCTTGCACATGTAGGCAAGTGATATATGACTGAGACATATCTCCAAACCAAAACACTACTTTCAACCTACATCATGTAGACAGCAGAGCCACCCCTAAAAGAAAGTGGCTGTCAGGACCATACTTGGGTAAGCATTTGACTTGCCTCTAGAGTCTTAGTCTCCTAAGGACAACTGCCCTGGAGGTAACAACAGACAACATTTGAGCTTCAAGTTCAAGACTTCAGGACAGATGTGAACATAACCAAATAGACCTTTTGGCACCAGAGTCATATGCAAGGAGATCAGTAACGGCATCACAGAGTACTATACCCCCAGCTGGCCTAGAACTCTATGTATGTAGCACCAGACTAGCCTTGATCTCACAGAGATGTACCTGTCTCTGCCTCCCAAGTGCTGAGATAAAAGGCATGTGCCACCATGTCTGGCTAGATGTCAGGTTCTTTTTTTAAATATTTTATTATTTTCACTCTGTGTATTCATGTATTGCCTGCATACAGGTGAGTGCACCTGTGTCACGCAATGCCCTCGGAGGACAGAAGAGGCAGTCAGATCCCTTGGAACTGGAGTTACAGACAGTTGTTAGCTGCCATGTGGGTGCTGGGATTCAAACCTGGGTCTTCTGCAAGAACAGTCAGTGTTCTTAACCGCTGAGCCATCTCTCCAGCCCCCAGGTGTCAGGTTCTTAACAGGCCATTCTCCAAAGTCATTGTAAGGTCTCTAGGAAAATGACACGTAGGCTGGGAAACTGGATGTCATGGTCACAGAGCTAGAATTGTCAATCACTTCACTGACAGGGTAAAAACAAATGTGGAAGCACTTGGGAGGCAGAGGCAGGTGGATCTCTGTGAATTCGAGGCTAACTTGGTCTATATAAGGAGTTCCAGGCCAGCTGGGGCTACAGGAAGACCCTAACTCCAAAAAATAAAAATAAAAGAATGTGGAAGAGCTGGAAAGATGGCTCAGCTCTTGGTTCCTCTTGCAGAGGACCCAAGTTAAGTTCCCAGCATCCACATCAGGCAGCTTACAACTGCCTATAACTCCAGCTGCAGGGGATCCATTGCCTCTGCAGGCACTTTCACATACCCTCCCCCACATATACATATGTTTAAAATAAACAAACAAATGTGGCATTAGATAGATGGCTGTGGGCAAAAGCTTTTCCTGTGCTAAGTATGAGAACCTGAGATTGACTCCCAGAACCCATGTATAAAAGCCAGACATGGCTGGGTGTGGTGGCGCACGCCTTTAATCCCAGCAGGGGCAGGGGCAGGCAGATCTCTGTGAGTTCAAAGCCAGTCTGGTCTACATAGCAAGCTCCAGGACAGCTGGGGCTATCTGTCTCAAAAAAGACATGCAGCAGGAGCAGAGACAGGAGACTCCCCACAAGCTCACAGGCCAAGAAGCCCGGTACATGTAACTAAAAAACAAGAATAAGACCTTGTCTCAAAAGCAGGCATGGTGGATGCAGGCTTTATATCTCAGCACTTAGGAGGCAGAGTCTAGCAGTTATCTGTGAGTTCTAGGCCAGCCAGCCAGGACTACACAGTGAGACCCTCTCAGGAAAGAGGAAGGGAGGGGAGAGAAAGAGGAGGGGGGAAAGGGAAAAAGAAAGGGAAAAGGAGGGAAAGGGAGAAGAGGGAGGGGAGGGGAGGCTACAGACATGATAGATTTTTAAGTCAGAAAAATGAAAGTACTACTTTAATATTTGCTGTAAGAAGGAAAAACATGAAAGATTTCTGACCTGAAGTACTGGTTAAAGACATTAGAAAAGGGATAAATGAAGACATTTTGGAATGCAGTAAGGACCTATAGGTTGACAAATCTGTCAAAAAATAAAAACAAAAAACTACCAGACAACAAATAAAAAGCCTTTACATATGCTTTGCAATATGAATTCAAATTTAGAGTTGGAAGTCTAGCTCAGTGGAAAAGTGTGTGCTCAACATGTTTGAGGTCCTGGGCTCCATCCCCACCACGGCCCCAGTCTAACTTGAACTAACTGCCTCATATTTTATCCAAAAATCCTATCTGCAGCCAATTATCCAAGAACATAATAGTGGTATTTGAGGAATAGGAAAAGGCCTAGATGTGAAAAGTTGAAAGTTTCAATAAGTTGGGCCTATGAGATGGCTCAGTGGGTAAAATGCTTCCCACATAAACCTGACAATCTGAGTTCAATCCCCAGAACCCATGTAAAGGTGGAAAGAACTGATTTCATAAAGCTGATTCCAGATGCACACTTTGGCATGCACACATCTCCCTCACACATAAACGATATTAATATTTTAAAAACAATTATTCAATAAGGGGATAGAAAGAATGGTTAGCAGTTAAGACTGCTCTCCTAGAGGATCCAATTTCAGTTCCCAGCACCCACATCCAGCTTGATGGGAACCTCTGCCTTCCAAGGGCACCTGCACTTACATGCACATACCCACATACAGATATGCTCATAGACATATAATTTTTTTTTTTCGGTCTTTTTGAGACAGGGTCTCCCTGTAGCCCCCAGCTGGTCTGGAACTCACTGTGTAGACCAGGCCTTGAACTCACAGAAATCCACCTGCCTCCACTTCCCAAGTACTGGGATTAAAAGTATGCACCACCATGCCCAGCACAGACACCTAAGTTTTTTTTAAATCTTTCATACATAGACACACACGAAAAAGACAAAGTTTGGCTGGCAGCTGAGCAGTAGCTTACCTGCATGGTAACTAGTCTATCATCCACCATCACCTCCTTGGTCAGAAAGTCTGCTCCTATTGTGGCTTTGTACTGGTTACTGAACTTCTTATTCACATACTGGTTCATAAGAGATGTCTTGCCAACACTGAAATTGGAGAAAAACCACAAGTCTAAGTCAAATAAGGGATTGAAACTAATTTTCCCATCTACAGTTTTAAAAGAAACTAATCTAGGGCCAGGGATATAGTACAGCTGGTAGAGTGCTTGCCTAATAGTCCTGAGTCCCTAGGTTCAATCCGCAGTACAACAAATAAAAACAGGCTGGACAGGTGGCTCAGATATTAACAGCACTGGCTGCTCTTCCACAGAACCTGAATTTGGTTCCCAGCACCCACCCACATGGCAGCTCACAACCATTTGTAACACCAGTTCCAGGGAAATCAAATGCCATCTTTTGGCCTCCATGGGCATTACACACAGGTGATGCACATACATCCATGCAGGCAAAACATGATATACATAAATTAAGTACATCTTGAAACAAAACCCACAATAATAAAACCCCATTTTTAAAAAAGGAGCCTGCCTGCCACAACAGAGCAGGTGCCATCTTCCAGCTAAGGGAAGACCCAGCAATCTTCCTATCATCATGTGCTGCAAAGTTTATAGTTTTCCTAGGATATTAATACAGGGAGAGGGGCCAGCAAAATGGCTCAGCAGATAAAGGCACTTGCCACCAAGTCCAACAACCTGAGTTCAATCCTCATCAATCCCCAGGATTCACAGGGTGAAAGGAGAGAACAACTCCTACAAATTTTACTCAACTTTTACACATGCACCATGGCATGTGCATGCCATGTACACAAATTAAATACATAAATTTAATTAAAATAGGAGGAAGGATCAGCTAAGTGGCAGAGTGCCCTGGATTCCAGCTCAGCATCACAGAACAGGAAAAAAAAAAAAGAGAAAACCAGGGGATAGATGTGGATCAGATGATAAAACAGTTTACCTTGACTTTGAGTAGATCCTCAGCTAACATGACACCTGCTTGAAGTTTAATGTCTACAGCAGAGAAAACACAAGTAATGTAACCAAAAAGAATGTACCTCAAAGCATATTCCTCCAAGCAGATGTCCCAGTGGACTTGGGAGGGAGGCTGAGGCAGGAGGATGATGAGTTTGAGGCCTCTATGGGCTGTACAGTGAGCTCAAAACTAGTCTGGGCCACATGTTTTTGAGACCTTGTCTCAAAAATAAAACAGAGCAAAGCACAACAATAAAACAGGACCAGTGGGGGGGCTGGAGAGATGGCTCAGAGGGCAAGAGCACTGGCTGCTCTTGCAGAGGACCCAGGTTCAGTTCCCAGCACCCACATGGCAAGAACAATTGTTCCAGTTTCAGGGGATCCAACACCCTCTTCTGACCTCCACAGGCATTGATTGCACACATGGGTACACTTACATACATGCAAAACACTCATACACATGTTAAAACAAAACAAAACAAAACAGGGCCAGTACAATGGCTCAGCAGGTAAAGATGCCTGTTGTCAAGCCTGACAACCTGAGTTCAATCCTAGGGAAGAGGATGGAAGAAGAGAACCAACTCCTGAAAAGTTATTCTCTGACCTCCATGTTCAAACATACATGTTTGTGTGCACCCACACATGTACATATAGAGTAATAAAAATAAATAAGATGTAATTTTTTTTTAAAGTCAAGGGCTGGGCAGGTGCAAAGGCAGAGGCAGGCATATCTCCAGGCCAGCCTGGTCTACACGTAAGTTCCAAGCCAGCTAGGATTATAGGGAGACCCTGTCTCAAAAACAAAACAAAAAAAACATCAAAGCATGTTCCTCTCAAGAGAATTTTCCTAAGAAAATTCACCAACAATGTGTTTTGGTGAGGAAAGGGCAGGGTCAAGGTAGAGCACTAACGCCTTCCTTATAGCCAGTACCATCACCATGGCTTCCCACAAAGGAACAAATTCATACACAGAGGACCTGGAAATAGGCATCGTCTATGGTAGTAGTACTTGGCTGGGGTATAGCCACTGAGCACTTGCCTAATGTATAAGGTCCCATCCCCATTACTGCAGCAAACAGAACCTACAGTGGAGCAGTGGTGAGGTCTGTGGTGGATCAAAGGCCCAATGATATCTTCCAGGAAACTTTGGGCACCACACCTCTAAAAAAAGCAGTATCTCGCCAGGCATGGTGGCACATGCCTTTAATCCCAGCACTCGGGAGGCAGAGGCAGGCGGATCTCTGTGAGTTCAAGGCCAGCCTGGTCTACATAGTGAGTTCCAGGACAGCTGGGGCTACAGGAAGACCGTGTCTCAAAAAGACCAAAAAAAAAAAAACCCAAACAAACAACAACAACAAAAAAAAACGGTAGCTCCTGACAACATTGGGCAGGAGACACACAGACTGAGACATTACCCAACTGGTCTGCAACTGAGGAGACAAAGAAACACTAGCTTATTTAAAGTTCCTCAAGCAATTCAAATAGGCCAGAGAAGACAGAAAAATCACTGACTCTTAAGGAAGGGAAGGGAACTTTGAAACACAGACACACCTGCTTTTATTATTTTTACTGCCTTCTTTATCAGAAACAGGGTCTATGTTGCCCAGGCTGGCTTCAACCTTCTGGGCTCAAACAATCTTCCTACCTCAGCCTTCCAAGTAGCTGGGATGGCAGGCATGTACTACCCTGACTGGCTTACATTTTTGCCTTTTGTTTCCTGTCACACTGTAGTCTTTCTTAGCTGGCCTGGAACTCCCTATGTAGACTAGGTTGGCTTCAAACACAGAGATACCCTTGCCTCTGGCTTCTGAGTGCTGGGACTAAAGGTGTGAGCCACCATGCCTGGCCTAGCTTACTGTTTTTATACATAAGCCTCCAGTGAGGCAAAGCCATCATGAGTTACATGAGCTATCAAGTCTGAAAAACCTACCAGAGAATCTTAATAGCCATTAAAGAGTTTACTAGTTGATGAGTGCAAGATCTAGAAACAGCACCTAGTTCTCTGGTCCTGGTTCTTCTACATACAAACCTTAGTCCCACAACAGGAGGAAGGCAATGTACATGTGTGAAGAACCCACACCTGGGTAGGCAGGGTACTAGTGGCAATCGATCCACATGAGCAGCACTTCCTAGTCTGGCCATCTTGGACAGAAGATCCATAAAAATAACCATCATGTGTTGGGTTCAGATTGCACCCCCCCCCCCATAAAAACATGCTAAAAGGGCTGAAATAGAATTCAGTGGTAGGCTGCCTGCCTAATATGCTCAAGGCGCTGGGTTCCATCCCTAGGAAAACACCCCCCCCCCACCACACACACAGACCTCATGGTAAAACCCAAGGAACGAAGGTTACATACTAAGAGATCATTCAAATTTCCACTGTGCCAACAAGGAGAGGTCAGACCCAGAACAGAATGTGGAAGGGCTGAAATAGAATTCAGTGGTAGGCTGCCTGCCTAATATGCTCAAGGCGCTGGGTTCCATCCCTAGGAAAACACCCCCCCCCCACCACACACACAGACCTCATGGTAAAACCCAAGGAACGAAGGTTACATACTAAGAGATCATTCAAATTTCCACTGTGCCAACAAGGAGAGGTCAGACCCAGAACAGAATGTGGTCACAGGCTCTCTAAGGACAATGCTCCAAGCCCATCTGTGAGCTCAAATTCATGAGAAACACTTACCCAGAATCTCCCAGGATGATAACCTTCAGTAACACTTTCTTCCTAGAGGTCATCCTTCAAGCTGTGGGAGGAAGAGAGCACAGTAAGCTGATGAAACACCAAGGAAGAACTGTCTCCTACACAGCTGCTCTACTTAGCCAAGAGCACAGCCCCCAGCATTAACACAGGCTGCCCCCATGTCTGATTAAGGAACAGCATTCCTTAATAGAACTAGGAACCTGTAAGGCTAGCCAAGACAGCAAAGCAAGGGCTACAAGGATGCTGCCCTCCTATTCAGGTGCTGGATCCATCCCTGGGATCAGCAACTGTGATTAATACTCCAAACAAACTCAAGAGCTCAGCACGTGAAGATTTGGGTCTCTGTGTAAGCATCACTCAGAAAGGTAACCACTTTAGCAATCCCCCATACCCCCATCTATTCTGTTTGCTACTTCAAAGCACTTATCACAGAGACATTGTATATGTGGTACTTACCTTCACCCTTTTCTAACAGTCTCCATGAGGGCAGTTTTACTCTCTGTTTGTGTGTTTGGTGCCAGGTAAAAGCTTACCAAACATAGGGTTAGAGGATGAATACCTCAACAGCGCTGCTCTAGGACCACCTTTCTCCAGAAAATCAGGCCGCCTCCCCTTCCCCCACCTCACATTATATAAGATGCTACCCTTGGTTCACACTTACCATACTTGATCTAGTTACAAAAGGGGACTCCTGCCTTAATTACTCTCAGTTGCCAGAATCTAAGTCAGTGACTATCAGAAAATGGGTGGGTTTCAGATAAACGACTTGCTACTTGAGTACTGCATTGTAAGTGATTGATAAATTGGCTACTAATGGGGCTGGAGAGATGGCTCAGCAGTTAAGAGCACTGACTGCTCTTGCAGAGGACCTGGGTTCGATTCTCAACACCCACATGGTGGCTACAAACTGTCCTTAACTCCAGTTCCAGGGGAATCCAAAGCCCTCTTCCAACCTCCGCGGCACTGCAGGTACACTCACATACATGCAAGCAACACACTCATACACATAAAAATAATAAAATATATATTTTTAAATTGGTTACTAAAATAATACATGTCCCAAACACAGGTGACTAGATAACAGAACAGAGAGGCTGGAGAGATGCTCAGCAATTAAGAGTACTGACTACTCTTGCAGAGGACCCAGGTTCAATTCCCAGCACTCACATGGCGGCTAAGAACCATGTATAACTCCAGTTCCAAGAGATCCGACACCCTCTTCTGACCTCCCAAAGCACTGAATGACTTTGATGCATGCACATACACATAAAATAATAATAATAACTAGAACAGAGTCTGGCAGTCAAGAGAAGAAGAGGAGACCACAGTGGTAGGGCCAGCTGTTGTCAACTGCTGTTTCTCAACAGGTGGTACTATACCAAGACTACAGACTAACAAGAGATACTGGACCTGACTAGACTACAAGGAAGGATCAGATTAAGAACCTGTAAAACCTGAGTGTTAGCACCCATCTCCAAATGGTAGGACAGAACTAACCCCCAAAAGCTGTGCTCTGACCTCCACATACAAGGTGTGGCATGTGCATGCACCCTTGATAATGAGTAAAATAAATGTAATTTAAAATTTTATTTCTAAAGTCGGGGGTGGTGGCGCACACCTTTAATCCCAGCACTCAGGAGGCAGAGGCAGGCGGATCCCTGTGAGTTCAATGCCAGCCTGGTCTACATAGTGAGTTCCAGGACAGCTGGGGCTACAGGGAGACCCTGTCTCAAAAAGACAAAAAAAATTTCTAGAGATATTGTCACATACACATCCAGAGATATGCATTATTCATCTCTTACGTGTCTCTCAATCAAATCACAGAAGATCTGGCTGTCTCAAGTGCCCAAAGAACCAAGTCTATGAAGATACCACCTCTCAAGCCTGGTGATGCCGACCAGGGAAACAACTACTAGTGCTGGGTACAGGCTGTACAAGGGTGGGCTGGAGTCCTCAGGGCTTGCTTCTTTCAGCCTTCTGTGACACCTAGAACTTTTCTATACCCTAACCAATATGTATGTGGCGCCTCACTCATTCCTACATTCCCCCAGGGACTGTTCTTGACTAACCAAGGTTTAAATGTCTCATCTAAAGTCTGGCACCACTTTTCCAGCTAGAAATTACACTATGCCTGTAAGAAAAGTTTTGACTCGAAGAGCAGAGTAAGGAAAAGGATAAAAAGAGGCAAAAAGAAGATGAAAAGTTTTGCAAAGACTTTTTTTTTGAGGGGGAAGGGTGCCTTTTTTGAGACAGTGTTTCCCTGTTGCCATAGCTGGTCTGGGAATCACTATGTAAACCAGGCTGGCCTCAATCTCACAAAGATCTGCCTGCAGCTTCAAAGACATCTTTATTAAAAAATATTTTATTTGGCCAGGTAGGGTAGCGTATGCCTTTAATCCCAGCACTCCAGAGGCAGAGGCAGGTGGATCTCTGTGAGTTCAAGGCCAGCCTGGTCTACATAGTGAGTTCCAAAAAAAAATTTTTATTTTATGTGGCGTTTATTACCTGCATGTGTGTAAATACACCCATGTCATGCAATGCCCAGGTCAGAAGGGGTGCCAGATCCCCTGAAACTGGAATCATGTGGGTGCTGGGAACCTAACCTAGGTCCTCTGCAAGAGCAGCCAGTGCTCTTAACTGGTGAGCCCCTCAAACACATTCTTGAAGAACATTTTAAAAAATTTCTAATTTGGGCAAAGGAAAAGGGATCTTCATAACTTAAGTTTCTTAGTAAGCTTCTTTAACATATTAAATTTCAAGAATATCAAAAAGGAGCTGAAGAGAGGGGCTCAACAGATAAAAAGTGCATACTGCTCTTGCACAGGACCTGAGATTGATTCCCAGCACCCACATTAGGTGGCTCACAACCATGTGTAGCTCCAGCTCCAGTAGGATCCAACACCTCTGGCCACCAGACACTCATATGCACATACCCATGCAGACACATAATTTAAAAAATAAATCTCTCAAAAAAGGAAGAACTATACTTTAGGGTCCATGCCAATGTACACCATTTCTCTCCCATTGGGTCTCTGTCCACAGGACGTGCCCATGAAGCACCTAACATACTGACCCCACTAAAGCAGTGAAATATGGAACCTTTGCCAGGCATGGTAGCACACGCCTTTAATCCCAACACTTGGGAGGCAGAGGCAGATGGATCTTTGTGAGTTTGAGGCCAGCCTGGTCTACACAGCAATTCTAGGTCAGCAGGAGCCACAAGGAGACCCTGTCACAAAGACGGGGGCAAAAAAAAATGGAACCCTTGAGTTATTTTTTTCCATCTAAAAACTACAGAAACCACTCAAAGATGCTGCCCCAAAGTAACCTGAATGCCCACAATAGCAGGTGCATTATCTCCATCACACAATTTGGTTATTTCAATACCACCATGTTATTAATGCAACAGTTTTGTGGAATGAGGAATCTTGTGCACAACACCTCTGAAGGTAGGACACTACTTTGTGGTAGAAGGCCTGCCTAGCTTGTGCAAGGCCCTGAGGTTTCATCCCCAGCGACAAAAGGAGGTGGGGGAGACATAGAAATACCTCTGAATTTTCTGTTTGTGGGGTGAGTTTCTTGAGAGGTAGCAACAGATCCAGAAGGGTCTAGAAATGGAGAGATCTTAGACTCACATGGTCACACACACTGGCTGCAGCGACCCATCAACAGTGGGAGTTCTTCCAGGACTCCACTCAGCACATGGCTCAGGCCCAGAGACACCAGAATCAACACTCTGACTGGAAGCTCTTATTTCTAAGGAAAAAATTCCCTTCCAGCTGCCCAGACTCCCCATGAAGGACATATCTAGCACAAGCCAGGTGGGTTTCGACATCCCATGCAACATACTAACTAGGGAACATTTTGCCTTTACCAGCCCTGCTCAGAAGCACATGTGACACCTGCTTCCATTAGCTCCCAGAGAAGTATCTACCATATAGTGTATAAAAGGATGTTTCAGTGAAAACTTGCTGTGGTTTTGGTCTAAGATCAGTTTGTGAAAGAATGGGGCAGAAAGATAATACGAACATGAATTTGGACTTGTATTTCTGAGGAGTTTGAGATGGAAGGAGACAGCAGCATCAGCTATTTCCATCCCTGGCTAAAAACAACTGCTAAGAAAGAGGGCAGTAGCAGAAGGGGCTGCTGGGACCTCTTTGACAGACAGCCATCAACAAACCAGAAGGTGAAACAAAGGGAGTGCCAACAGCACACTCAAGCATGGAAGAAAAAGCACATCAGAAAATGTAAAGAAAAGAGAAGGTGTGACTTGAGAAAGAACATAACTGAAGGGTCAGACACAGTGAGCAGCTGGCTGTCAGGAGGACCAAGGAAACAGTTGGGAGGTAGACAGGTCTGAAGGCATGGTCCAAAAAAGCTGGTGGCTTGACATGGCACAGAAGAGCGATTGTGTTGAGAGAAATAAAACAGTCCAACCTTACAACCGTTCTCCTGGCTGTGCCTCACTCCCAGTTCTAAACACCTAGTCTCAAATGAGCATGCCACCAAGTTCTCAAACCCCTTCTGCTGTGTGCTCTAGACAGTACTCCCCTACGAGGGGCCATATTCTTCTGGACACTAAACCACCACCACCTCATCTTATCATATTGGATTCAAGACTGCATGTCCAACTGGGGCAGAGAGGTAGGGCAAGGCCATGCTATTCTGAAGGCATTTTCTCTTACTAACTTCCCAAGTTCGGCAGTGCTGAGGGAGAAAGCTTGGAGAACTACTGTGGGACAGTGGCTGATACAGCCTTCTTCCTTTAGACACATTTTTAGGTGGCTGCAAGCTACTTGTCTGTCTTGAGAAAAGGCAGGCAGACAAGTCTGGACAAGAAAAAGGAAACGTCTCTGAAGCAGCAAGAGCAGCAGCAATACCTATGCTCACACTTAAAAAAGTAGAAATGGGCTGAAGAGATGACTCAGCAATTAAGAGGACTGGCTGCTCTTGCAGAGGACCTGGGTTCAATTCCCAGCTCCCATATGGCAGCTAACACCCATCTGTAAATCCAGTTGTTACAGACGCCCTCTTCTGACCTCC